AAAAAAAAAAAAAAAATAAGAAAAGAAACTATTAGTTGTCATTTACTATGAAAAACTATTACTGAGTCTTTCCTTATAACTACCCTCTAATATATGTAGAAATGATTATTCACTCCTTTGCAATACATACATGCTCGAACATGGGCCTGCTCCCTTTATAGGAGAGGATTCTTGATGATAAGGAGCATGGTTTAGTTTATCTTTGCTTCCCAGAACCTAGCATATTGTCTGCACAAATTAAGAGCTCAGAAAACATATTTGACAAATATGTGAATGCTTTAAGGGGGCGAGAGTCCACAACTCTAAAATTTCTAGTACTTCTTTTCACCTAAAAGTCAGAAGATTTCAAATAAAAATGTAAATGATACTCCTTGTGGCTTACATATAAATACTCAACGGAAAAATCCCCAAGGACTTATACCAAGGGATTAAGAGGAAAATATTATTAAGAAACAGCTTCATAGAATTCATGCTTCTAAAAATTCTCTTTCTTCCAAAGCTGGAAATTAGTATTGAGTCAAATGGACAGAAAAATCATCAATCTTGCTTTATTAAAATGTTTTCTTCCAAGCCAAATCCTATCTTTGAATTACTATAATCATATTAGCTAACATTCAATAAATGAAGGCACCTGAGAGATATTTAAAATTGATATATTTCATGTTGTGTTTACTTGGGTCAAAAGAACTATTATTGAAATACCCTGACAAAGTAACCTTATTTGCTCTCATATTATTTTTCAGTAGTAAATTTCCATTGCTTCTCTTAAAAACAGATGATATATAATAAATAATTAGTTTCTCATAATAAATATATGCATGCACTAAGATTATCTGTTTATCTTTAAGTCACTATATTAAGCTATAAGTAGATGCTTTAAACCAGTATGAGAAATAACAATGGATAAATAGATTTTAGATTTTTTTAGATGAAAAATTTTATTTAACATTACAAAATGCATTTTTCTTATTTAATTGTGTTATTCCCACAAGGTACTATGTATATGATCAATATCAGCATTATTTATATGGTAAAGAAAAAAAATATAGCTACAATATGGAGGAAGTATTTCCTTTGTTGAAAAGTATTAATAAATAAGAATAGATAGTAATAGTTTTCAAACCTGATCTAGTCACTTTTGAATCTTTTTACTTTTATAATTTTAATGCTATCCTTTTGGAAATAATAAATAAAAAACCAGAACATTTCAAATAGTCAAAATTTAACCATCAAATTTAACTGACTTGCCATACATAGGAAGACTGCTCTATTCATTTTTTATCAGTGATATATATTGTACACATATTCCTAAAATGAAATGATCTTATTTGCAATCCTTCTTATTTTTCCTATGTGTGTATGCATATCCTCTCTGTCAGAAAGCAGAGAGTAAATGTATCATTTGAAAGTACACATTCAGATGTCTTTGAAACATACCCAAAGACCTCTACCAAAAGCTCAATGGAAGGTCATTTGAAGAGATTCGATCCAGAGGATTTTAAGTGAAAAATGGGGAGTAAAACAATATTTTCATTCTTTTCAATTACATAGACAATGAGTAATTTTTAGACAGGCCTTGAAGGAAGCACAGAAACCTTGACATTATGTGCAAAATGTTATGTATCTACTTTTTAAATAGGACTAAAAATGTGAACTTCAACATATAAATGTCTTCACCAGTTGTCTTCCCTTACCTTTATGTCTTTAATACAAGGAAAATACATCTTCAATGAATTATCTGCTAATATTTTACCTTGGTACACTGGCATATATTTTCTTTAACATTATAACTATTAATATACTTAATATTGTTATTATAAAATATATAACAATTATTAGTGCCTTGCTGTTCATAAGGCTTTTTTACTTATGTGACCTCAATTAATCTATACATAATTTACTATTTTATACATAAAAAATACAAGCTGTGAAGGAATAAAGCTAGTGATAGAAATGAACTATAAGAATTCTAGAAGAAAATGTTGGAAAAACTCTTACAGACATTGACCTAGGCAAAGAATGTATGAAGAAGACCCCAAAGGCAATCACAGTAACAACAACAATAAACAAATAGGATCTGATCACATGAAAAAGCTTCTGCCCAGCCAAGGAAACTATCACGAGAGCAAACAGACAACCTATAGAATGGGAAAAAAAATATTCACATCTTACACATTTGATAAAGGGTTGATCTATACAGAACTCAGGAAAATCAGCAAGAAAAAAAAAAACAACAACCCTATCAAAAAGTGGGCAAAGGACATGAACAGAAACTTTCAAAAGAAGATAGACTATGGCCAAGAAACATACAAAAAAACGCTCAACATCTCTAATTATCAGGGAAATGCAAATCAAAACCACAATGAGATATCACTTATCTCCAGTGAGAATGGCCTTTATCAAAAAGGCCCAAAACAATAAATGTTTGTGTGGATGCAGAGAGATAGGAACACTCATGCATTGTTGGTGGGACTGCAAACTAGTATAACCTCTGTGGAAAGTAATATGGAGATACCTCAAAGAACTAAAAGTAGAACTACCATTTGATTCAGCAATCCCATTACTGGGCATCTACCCAAAGGAACAAAAGACATTCTACAAAAAAGACATCTGTACTAGAATGTTTATAGCCACACAATTCACAACTGTAAAGATGTGGAAACAACCCAAGTGCCCATCAGTACATGAGTGGATTAATAAAATGTGGTACATGTATACCATGGAGTTCTACTCAGCCACAAAAAAAATGGTGATCTAGCACCTCTTGTATTATCCTGGATAGAGCTGGAGCCCATTCTACTAAGTAAAGTATCCCAATAATGGAAAAACAAGCACTACATTTACTCACCATCAAATTGGTGTTAACTGACCAACACTTACGTGCACATATAGTAATAACATTCACCGGGTGTCGGGTAGATGGAAGTGGGGAGGAGGGGATGGGTATATTCACACCTAATGGGTACAGTGAGCACTGTCTGGGGGATGAGCACGCTTGAAGCTCTGACTCGGGTGGGGTAACGGCAATATATGCAACCTAAACATTTGTACCCCCATAATATGCTGAAATAAAAAAAAAATTAAAAAAGAAATGACTTGACATAGAATCTCTGAATGAAAGTCCATGACTTTTCACATTGTCCAGATATCTCTTGTCTACATTATAATTGGATAATTAATAGTATAAAATACCATAAGATAATTAGAGTCACAAAAGCAGAACATACTAACACCAATTCAAAACAACCATGAATTCAAAGCCTCTATTCTGAACAACTCACGAGGATTTCATGTATGTTGTAACCTATGTGAATGGCATGCTGTAATTTTATAATGCACACCATGCATATCTGGGTGAATACATCAAGAATTGAATATCGAACTTTTCTTATGATTCTGGATGATTTGGTTGTTAATATTTTAAATAATAATTCTCTTACATTTACTAATTTATATTTAGCGTTTCAATTTTTGTCATATATAACATCGTGGAAATCTTTTAACATGCAAAAATCAATCAAAATGTTCATGTCTATACATTATGATCCTTCATAAATATATATTTTACATATCCACAATAATATTCTTTCCTTTTTTACTTATTTTATCATAAATATATGGCTGTTCTTTCTTTTTGTTTGCTATTAGTGATTACACCATAATGATCATTTTCACGCATTCTCTTTCAGTTTCTGGTTTACAAATGCCTTAGGATAAATTTTTAGGTCAACCTTATGGAAACCTTTATGGTTTTTGCTAAATATTGTCATACTGCTTTCCCACTGGTCATACCTATGTTTACTGGTACCAGAAAGAATGATGTTAGGAACTTCTGTGTTATAATCTCAGTGGCAGGTATGCTGTTGACAAAAATTTTGTTTCTTTAGTCTTCTAAGGGATTGCTGCTTTGTTAGCTATAAGAGGATACTTGATGTTTGCTTTAATCTGAATTAATTTGATTACTAGTGAAGTAAACATGTTTCATGCATTTATTTATTCTGTATATTGCTACTTTTGTCAAAATACTTGCTTATATCCTCTGCTCATATATCTATTGAGTGCTTGATATTTTAAAATTAATTGGAATGAGATAATTATATATCAATTTTTCTTAAATATTTCAAATCATAGGCTCCATTTATTTGATTATGTGATAAAATAGTGAATCTTCTGTTGCAGAAAAATGCCTACACATACACATTTGTACACAGTTTCATGGAG